AGGATCAGGGGGGCGCAGGTGCCTATGGGTGAGGGACACATTGCGTCTGTGCAACCTCACCCAAAAGGCAGACGGGAAGAAACAGGGCAGAGTCGGGGGCTCCACGCACCCCCACGTGCCTCTCCCCTCGACACGGGCCCTGTGGGCAGCCATACTCACCCTGAAGGACAAAGACGATCGGGATGGGTCACAGCACAGACCCCAGCACTGAGCCCCGACCCTGTCCCAGGTCTGCCCGCCGGAGGCCAGCGGGGGATGCCCAGGACAGTCACCTGGGAAACCAGGCTCACACGTTGCTTCTCCTGCGACATTAACTCCCGCCCGGGACTCTGCGGGCGGGCGGCCTCGCGGACCTAACGGGCGACAGGACATTGGTCGTCGCACACACATCGCACTACGCGGGAGTGATGCCCGACGCGGACACGCAGAGACCGCCAGTGAGAAGAGGAAGGACAGCCGGGCAGTGGGCACGGCGGCCCCGTCCACCCCGTCCACCCGCCCACAGCCATTGAGACTCTCCTACCCTCGCAACACGTCCCCCGGTCGTACCGGGCGGCTGCCTGGCTCTCGACACAGGAGAGCGTGAGCTCCACGTCTGTTGGGTTTAATTCAAAGCCGCTCCTCACAGCCTCACCGGACAGAAACCTCCGGGCGCCGCGTTCTCCGCTGTGACATGGCAAACGCATGTGCCGTGGGAAACCCGCCCAGACTGCGATCGAGGGGAACGTTCCCAACCGCAGGGAACATCTGCTCATTTAAAAAACACGTCCGTCTGTTGCTCCTGATACAAAAGTCTACACTATCTGCAACCAATAAATAATCAAATGGGCTGTTTCTTAAAGTATGAAATGTAAACATGGTGCCCTTCCACCACACACTCACACACACACACACACACTCACACACACACACTCACACACTCACACACACACACTCACACTCACACTCACACACTCACACTCACACACTCACACTCACACACTCACACACACATTTAGAGGCAACAGACAAGTTTTCTGAATAGAGAAAGGAAATAGTTCCTCCTCCCACTGACGGTTAGATAATGATGCTGACTATTTTCTTTCATTCATGAGAAGGCGAACATATCACTGTCTGTATTCTATGGTATAGGCAGTAGAAGCTCAATGACTAATCACATAACGTAATATATAGAACTGAATAATCCCAGCAGGCATCACACTTTTACTTCACTTAAATGAAAGTGAGGAATAAATTTCCCCAGCCCTCCCTCCCTCCCTTTTTAACCATTTAAGTCATGTTCCTCCCCCTCCCCCATTTTGCAAGGGAAAGTGAATTTTGCTGTAAGGTTAAGTGGACCACAGGGCAGGAGAAATCCCCAGGGCGACCCTTTTTCTCAGGCTTCATTTTTCCTCCCAAGTCTGAATGTCAACAATAATATCTTATATGAGCCTCTGGTGGTGATATTTCTTTCCATAGGTCATCATACTTTTCTGTCCCAGATGAAGTCTCAGGACAAGCCCTGAAGTAGCATAGATTCTGAGTTTAGTGCATCATTTAAATCTATATACATAAAAGCCTAAGTGACCATCACAACTGAACGGATGACCGAACAGGCTGCGTGGGGCGACTAGGCTGGCAGGGGGTTAGTTAGGGGTGACCAAACGACTGTGCAGCAGGCTGCATGGGGTGACCAGGCTGGCAGGGGGGTCATAAGGGGTGACCAAATGACTGAGCAGCAGGCTGCAGG